AAAAAAAAAAAAAAAAGAAAAAAGAAAAATTTTTAACCGAGGTTAATGACCTTTTCGAGGGACACTCGGATTTTGTTTCTTTACAAAATCTGGATATTTGAGTAGTCCTATGTTTAATACAAACCTGTGATGGGATAGCTTTTTAACAAGTTTTTTGCTCTAGTCCAACGTTGTTTTTTTTTTTGAAACAGTCTCAGTATGTCACCCTCGGTAGAGTACTGTGACGTCATAGCTTACAGCAACCTCAAACTCTTGGGCTTAAGCGATTCTCTTGCCTCCACCTCCCAAGTCTGACGTCTTTTAAAGCAAGAGGTCTAACTCAGCAGTTCTCAACCTATGGGTTGCAACCCCTTTGGGGGTTGAATGACCATTTCACAGGGGTCACCTAAGACCATCCTGCATATCAGATATTTACATTACAATTCATAACAGTAGCAAAATTACAGTTATGAAATAGCAACGAAAATAATTTTATGGTTGAGGGTCACCACAACATGAGGAACTGTATTAAACGATTGCAGCATTAGGAAGGTTGAGAACCACTGGTCTAAGTGAAAAGCAGAGTAGCCCTCTTTGGCAGATTTTTTTTTTCTTTAAGGGATGATCTGAAGAAGTACTTTTCTTTGTTCTTTGGTTTGAGAAGCCAGGACATGATAGGTTCAGTATGGGAGGGAATGGAGCCACCTGCTAAAGTAGCATCAAGCAGCCCTATTTATTCTGTTGGTATTGGAAAAGTATCACTTGGATAGGGCAGTTAGAAACAAACTGAAACAAAATCACTTCAGTAAATGCATCCAAATACCCCCAAATGCTAGAACCAAATCTTTTAAACCATTCACATCACAGGAAGCTATGAGCTTTGGGAAAACAAGAGGTTGGTTTGAAATGAGATTTTTACTTGTCAGTATGGCCCTAACTGGTGAAGCACTTTGTTTCTGAGACTGTTCGGAAGAGCTGTCAGAATCTCAGTTGCTAGCATCCTGAGGAAATTCATAGTCTTAAATGTGTATGTTCTGCTTTTTATAAAGCAACACCACCACATTGAGGAAGTTGGACTCCCTCCAGCAGTTGTGTACATGACTTAAAAAAGAGAGAGTGAGGGAGAGAAAAAAAGTGCCCTGTGTTATGAAAAAGATTAATTTCCCCTTTCTTTAATCCTTCATATTCAGCGTTATTTGCATTGAAATGCCTCCACTCAGTATGCATTGATGTTCACTCAACTGTGAACCCAGCTTGTTGCATAGCTCTAGGCATTGGTTCTGCAGGCCCTGATCACTCCGGATTCCCAGGGAAAACCCACTTGATTCTTGTCCTAGCCATGCAGACATACAGTATTCTCTTTCTGTTTTCTCTGTGGAGAAAGTGGAGAGCACAGCTAATGGCACTTCTTTAGGGGAAAAAAAAAATTCTCTTTCTGGCCTCCTATAGACTCTAATATTAATGAAGCCATACTGGGTTCACTATGCAATGAGAAATTTACCATGCAGTGGCACCTTGAATTCTCTACCTGAGTTGCCTGGTTCTTTCTTTCTTTTTTTTTTTTTTTTT